TTGAGGATGGTTTGGCTTTCAAGAGGTAGCAGTTCAGAAGCATTTGTTTTACAAAAGACCTGCTTTTCCCTTATTGATTGGGACCACTCCCGTCTGCCAGCATTTTTCTGGACTCCTTGACCAGAGCTATCAGGACTGTCTTGACGAATACTCACACCTCCGATTGTGCCATTAATAGTAATTTTTTTAAATCTGTGTGTATTTTCTTACTGCTCTCAACCCACATCAAGTCTAATGTAGGAAAACCAACAAAAAGCCCTTTGCAGCTTTAAACATTTGAACATTTTAAAAATTTGGAATAACAAAAATTTATTCAACAAAACCTTTTGTTTCTGCCTTCATTTCTGAGAAAAAATGTTTTCCCTAACCCTCCATATGCCTCATTACACATCCTTAAGAAAATAGTTCTCCACATTAATATCCTGCATGGAAATGGTTACTAGGGCATAAACGTCATGGAAACAATGGGATTTAATGCTAATCCTGTGTGAGATTGCATTACAGTATTTTACTGTAGGAAGGTCTGAATATAGAATTGCAACCGGACTGATAGTGAATCCTATACCTGTCGTCTCAGCAGTCGCACTGTGTTCCTTTTTATTTATTTAGAAATGTATGTTCTGCTTTTGTTACTAAAAATAAATTAAAATCAGCCTGCAGTTCACAAACAAGGAGTCATATATTTTCAAAAGTTTGAAACGTTCAAGGACTACTAAACTCATTTATACCATATAACTTAAATCCTGAAGCAGTGTAAAGCATTTTTGAGATAAATATAGGAGATTTCAACCCAAACTGCATGGTCGGCCAAGTAAAAGCTGTTATGGTTTGGCAGGAACCTAAGATAGATGTTTAAATGTATGTAAAAGACGGCAGCTTTCAGGGCCTGCCCAATTACTAGGCAGAGTGAAGTGACTCGGGTAACAGTCATTGAAGGGTAACAAGTTGATAATTATTTATTATTGTATTTCTACTTCCAAGAAGATGTGTTTATGTTTCCCTCAAGTGGAATAAACCCCATAAACCGCTACCACCTTTGGACATAATAGCCAACATCCTGTCACATAGCTATGCCAGGCAATGGTGTCACTGGCAATGGCAGATTGCCACTACAGTGGGGTCTTGACTTGAGAACTTTAATCCGTATTGGAAAGCGGTTCTCAAGTCAAAAAGTTCGCAGGTCAAATCTGCATTTCCCATAGGAATGCATTGAAAACCATTTGATCCGTATCTGCTCTTTTCCGTCCATAGAAATTAATGGGAAGCTGCTATTCCTCCTTCGACCACTAGAGGGGGATATTTTGTTTCTTTTTTTCTTAGGTCAAGAAAGGTTCAGGGAAGGCAGGGAAAATACAGTCCAGGCAGTACCAGGCAGTCCGAAGACTGTCTCCCAATCCACTCTCTAAACGCTGGGAGGAGTGAGGAAGCAGGCAGGCACCCTTTTCACTGGCCAACAGTTAACGGAAAGTTCAAATTTTGCACTTTCCCTGCCTCCCACGTGGTATTTTTCAGTTCTTAACTCAAATCTAAGTATGTAAGTCAAGTCAATATTTTCCTATGAGAGTGGTTCTTAAGTCAAAATGTTCTTAACTCGAGCCGTTCTTAAGGCAAAACCCCACTGTAATTAAAGAGTCCATGCTTCTGTTTTGGATTATGCACAACTTAATCTTGCTACATATGGGTTGTGCAGCCCGAAGTCAGATCCATGCTTCTGTTTTGGATTATGCACAATTTAATCTCGCTACATATGGGTTGTGCAAGGACTCTTGAATTAGCGGCTGGCTGTGATGTCATTACTGTGCTGGCACAGCCATGCAAAAGGATTCTGGCCCTTGTTTCTTGACTTACAGAATGAGGTGCCAGCTTTGCAGTCCAAGTCCATGCATGTTAACATACATACGTATCTAGAGAGGCAAATAGAAACAGGCTGCGACTTCTTAACACAAACCACCCACTTGTCTGCCGGAGATGACCAGCTGAAAAAAAGCGACGTCCCAAGTAATGGCCGGCAAAGAAGCAGGTGATGGGCCCAATGGTTCAGCAGGACTGTTAAGCAGCACTCAGACTCTGACAGGGGTAGGCCATGTGCTGAAGTTTTCTGCCTTCTGCTAAAATCTTAAAGTCCAGAAGCCCTTTGTTTCTCTACAGCCAGAGTGGGCAACACTGGTCCTCCAGGTATCACTGGACTGCAACTTCCATGATGCCTCTCACCCGTGCTGACTAAGGTTGCCTGGGCCTGCTGAGCAGCAAACATCTGCAGTTGCCTGCCCGTGATCCAAGGCATACAACTTTGTTTATTATTGTTTATATGTACGCCAGTGTTTGCTAAAGTAGTAGATGAAAAACTTTCAAACCATCAGAAGAGATATTTTAAAAGTTTGGGATGTGTGTGTCAAATTGCATGTCCAGAGAAATGTGTATGGCCTGCTATTACATTTCTCCTTCATGCGTACAATTCCTTCATAGCACCGAATTGGTATGACAACTGCTGAAATTGAAGTGTTTTATCTGACATAGTGCTAAATTGGAAAAACAGAATTAAATAAATTGTTCAGAGGAGAGACAAGAGGTGCTCACGTGAGGGGAACGTCCCTGCCATACTGGCATCCCACCAAGGATATGGTAGGTCAGATAAGTGCTGCAAGTTCACACGTTGTTATATCAGTTCAGCACTACTCCACTTGCCATTGTAAAGTTTCTGCACTGTCATGATCCTACTAGGACACACCCAGCACTTCTCCTTTGGATGATTATAGGCACTCGTATACTGTATACCAGAAATGTGAAAAAGGAAATGCAAGTGGAACTGCTTCCAAACCAGCTTACGCCCCCACACACCCTAGCCATCAAAAGAAAAAGCAAGGGAAATGCAAGTGGAACTGCTTCCAAACCAACACCAATACCCCCAACCTAGCCATCAAAAGAAAAAGCAACAAATGCCCATGAAAAAAGACTGGAATTTGCTGTTAGTTTTACGTCATGTTGTTGAAGGAAAATATATTTAATTTAACCACACTAACTCCAGCACAAACTGCAGCGTAGTCACACTGTCAAATACAAACTCCAATGACTAATGAGGAAAAAAACTTTACAAAATGTAATACTTGAATACAATGCCTGAATTCAATAGACTTAGACTATTAAGAGAAATGTGCATCCCCTTCAAGTTAGAATATCTATATAATTTAGCAGATTAAATTAAAGTATCTATCTAACACAAATGAGCAGATGCAAATCTAGATCCTCTTTTGTTCCCTTTCTAATTGCATTTCTCTCTCTTCGGGGGTTATAGAAGAGGCCCTGCTATTGTCTGAAGAGAGATAACTGATAAATCTCCTTCCTGGGCAGGAGCACAAAGACATTTCACCCCACCTTTTGCTTGTTTCATCTGGTTCTTAATCAGATGTGTTCTCCTACTGTTCTTCCTTTCCCCTCTTCCGAGTTCCACAGCTTCTGACTGTTTGCTTTTTGCTATTTTATTTTGGTGGCTAAAGGCTTATCCTTCAAGCAAGGCCAGCCCTTTGCTTTCTGTCTCCAAGTCTTGAGGAACAGCATTTCCTGAATGCCCCTCCGCTCCATCCCAGAAGGCAAGGAAGACAAAGTGTCCCTTTCTCCGGCTGTTTATTACATATGTGCTTGAATAGTTTATTCACATTTTCCGGCATAATTGTCTCCTTTCTTCCTCAAGCCAAGGCTTTGATTTGTTGTTGAAAAAGCTCTTTCTCCCCACCAAGACCCTACAGAGGCTTTC